TGAAGTATTTGCTTCACTATAAAAAAATCAAATGGTAGTGTTTTATAATCTCTATTTCCTATTAAGGTTTTATATGTTACTTTCCCTTAGTTCCTGAATTTGTTGTTCTATATACTATATATAAACAGAAATGTGGATGATTACCATATGTTTCCTGACTCCTTTATCTTGTTACACCATGAGATACTGTCATTGTTTATTGGAGACATTTTGATGATTAGTGCGAAGGCTGGCATCATGAATCAAAATAGACTTGTTAAGTCAACTTCATTCCAAACACATACCGTAAATCATAAAATCTAAGTTGCCATTAATTGTAAGATGCCCTGTTATTTCACGTACAACTAGAAAAGGAAAATTGGTATCAATTATAGTATGGTCCTTTCTTATTTTGAATTATACTTCTTAGAAGAGCTATTTTAGATTTATTTAAACATAAGATTTTTAATCACATAATTTGTGGATACAAAAAAAGAGAAATAAGCAGAACAAGTTGGGTAATATAGTCCTAAAACCTCATCTTCTCCAGTCTGAGTATTCTGAATCCTGTTTTGTTTTGTTTTGTTTTGTTTTGTTTTGTTTTGTTTTGTTTGTTTTGTTTTGTTTTGTTTTTTGTTTTGTTTTGTTTTGAGACAGGATCTCACTTCATTGCCCATCCTGGAATGCAGTGGCACAATCACAGCTCACTGCAGCCTCTACTTCCTGGGCTCAGGTGATTCTCCTACCTCAGCCTCCCAAGTAGCTTGGACTACAGCCATGTGCCACCACGCCCAGCAAATTTTTGTATTTCTTTGTAGAAATGGGGCTTCTTCATGTTGCCCAGGTTGGTCACAAACTCCTGGTCCCAAGAGATCCACCCGCCTCAACCTCCCAAGGTGCTGGGATCACAGGCATGAGCCACTGCGCCTGGCCACTGAATTCTTTTTCGTGGGAATTTTTGTTGAGATAATGTAAATTCACATTCAATGGTAAGACATAATACAGAGATCTCTTGTATACTTGGCCCTTTTTCCCCAAATATTAATATTTTGTAAAACTATTATGTATCACCACCAGGATATTTATATTGATACAGTCCATTCCTCTTATTTCTCCAGTTTTGTATTATGTATTTAGATCTAAACAGTATTATCACTTGTGTTCATATATCCACCACCATGAGAATCCCTCACATTGCTCTTCTGTAAGCACGCGCACCTCTCTCCTGCATCCTTCCCCCAATTTCTGACACCCACTATCCTATCCTCTATTTATAAAAGTTAATTATGTGAAAATGTTATATAGTGACATCATCAAAAATAGCAAAAGAGGGAGCTCCAAAGATCTGTCCTTCTACTGAAGCAACCATTGCTAGCAAAAACTTAAGATCAACTTTTTGGGTCTTTGCTATCTAATAAAAACAACCACCAGAGGAATGCTTAATAAAGAGCCTATTTAATAAAAAGGGTTTTGGTGGTTTTGCTCACATACCTACCATGCCCCGTCTCCCAGCCAGGCAACAGCTGAAAGGACAGTGGCCTCTGTTCCTGGTGCATTTTGATGGTGCCAGAGCAGGCAATACAGATCTTGCTCTCACAGAAATGTGGATGTGCTTTGACCTGCCTGGCAGCTCCTGAAGGTTCAGCTCAAGTTTGCCTTTGTTTCGCCCCCCTCCATGCTGGAACAGCCTCACAGTGCTTATCAAAAGCATTACCTTCAGCCACCTGGAGCTGGGGACAGCAAATGGGGCAAGTAGCAAACAGACCAAAAAGCTTGGGAAGGAAATACTGGAAGATATGAGAGAGATAAGGAGATAAGGCTCAGAAGGGCTCTTGTCTGTAATAGGTAATCCAGAAGGCCACACACTTGCTTAGCACCAGACATTTTCAGAAAAGACCTGAGAGGACTCTAGGCCTGCACCTCTGACTGATCTTTAGGCTCCACAGAAGCAGGAGGTGGAAGCTAAAGCAGAATTGTAGACGGCCCGGCTAAGCACTGAAGGAATGGCCAGTCAGAACCAATCTGCAAAGCCTGGGAGAATTAT